CATGTTTCGATCCTTCTCCTTCAGATCTCCTTTTTCAGCATTTTCCTTTATGTTAAGTACCTATCCCATACTACGCATATTTCAGGGTTTCTTTCGTCGTACGGTGCTTCGTGATCAGAAGTTCACGTGCCGCTTCAAACATCAGTGTGTTGTGGACAAGAGCATGCGATGTGCATGCCGATGCTGCAGATTCAATAAGTGTGTTAGAGTCGGCATGAAAAGAGAGGGTGGGTATAGAAAGTGTACGGGAGATTCCGTCTAGAATCATCCATTTCAGCGATCCAGTTTGAACGGGACCCAACCGGTGGTAGTCCATCGAAACGGTCCCGAGTGAGCCCAGCTCCTGGTCAGGAGCAAGCCACTGAAAATCAAACACCGGTCATAGCAGCATTAATGGATATGGAACATAGGGTGAATCAGGTCGGCGGGCCTTTGTATACTTTTTCGTTTCGTTCAGTTGTGGAATTTTTTTTCTTTGAGTTTATTTTAATGAGACATCACATGCACATTGTCCTTGCAAAATAATTACATAAGGAAAAGGTGATAGCACTGATGGAGGGGATTGGGAGAGAGATATGATAGTGATTTTCGGCTATAGAATCGTTAAAATCTTTTCTTTTTGTTTGTTAGTGAGCGAGTAATTTCTAGAAGTTTCGAAAAATCCAAGTAGCTTTGTTAATAAATTTTGTTCTGGATGCTGTTGCCGTTACTCAAGTTTGAAAGCTCTCAAGTAGTTTGAGCAAAATCCCAGAAATGTTAGAAGGTGTAGCTAATATAATATAAGCCCGTTAGTTTGAAAAAGCCGCCGAAACCTCCCCCTCCCTCCGCCCTGATGATATTTTCCAGAAGATTGCCATTGGTAAACTCGCTTTGAGATTGGTCTCTGCCGAAATCTTTTTCAAGTGATTTTATTGATTTTAGGAGATGTGTTCCCGTTACCGTAATTCGGTCATACAACAACCTGCCAATACTACTGGACTTAGCAGTGATGGCGAACCATCAACTTCGGCGTTTTCGCAGCCGAATAAGCCGTGTACGGCGGAGGTAAATAACCTGAATATTGTCTATATTTTTTGCTTCTAATTTTTTTTTTTGAT